TACATGTACCGTTATTATTGTTATTGTTATTAACATTATTAAACTATTATTATTATCATCGTCATCATCATTATTGTTGCTGTTGCTGCTGTTGCTGTTGTTGTTATTGTTATTACTATTATTATTATTATTATTATTTATTATTATTATTATTATTATTATTATTAATCTCTTACTCCTACTTATTTTTTCCTGTCTTTTCCTTACAGAAGAAGGCGATGACGGAGAGCGCCTCCGGCCGGCGCCACGGCCCGGCCCACGACGCAGTCCTCGGCCGCCCACACGGACCTCCTCCTTGCCCCGCAGCGCCGCCGACATCGATCTCGCGCCCGCTGTCTGTACAGGTGAGAGCGCACGTGGCAGCCTCAATGGCGACACCTGCGGACGGGATATCATTGGCGATTTTTATTCATTTATTTATTTAAATGTTTGTTTATTTGTCGTCTTTTATGTATATGTATATTTATTTAGCTGTTCGTTTATCTGTATTTGTTTATCTAATTATTTTATTTGTTTTTTTACGTGTTGCCTGTTTGCTCTCTCTCTCTCTCTCTCTCTCTCTCTCTCTCTCTCTCTCTCTCCTCTCTCTCTCTCTCTCTCTCTCTCTCTCTCTCTCTCTCTCTCTCTCTCTCTCTCTCTCTCTCTCTCTCTCTCTCTGAAAAAAGTAAACCTAAATTTATCTATTTATCTATTTCGTGAAGAGCTCGAAACGTAACGTTTATTCTCATATCTTACAGTCGCTCTTTTAATTTTCATATATATATATATATATATATATATATATATATATATATATATATATATGTATATATGTATATATGTATGTATGTATGTATGTATGTATGTATGCATGTATGTATGTAAATATGTGTGTGTATATATATATATATATATATATATATATATATATATGTAGTATGTATGTATATATATATATATATATATATATATATATTATATATATGATATGGGATACAATATGTAATACTTGTTTATTTATTTATCTATATTCCTTCTGCTCCTAATGCTATTTTTCTCTCCTTTCCCCTTTTTTCTCCCTGCTCCAGAATGCAACCGTCCAGATATATATTTTTTTCTGAGCAAACACGAAATCATCAGTTTCCTATTTTGATAGATCATGATCGAAGGTGAGAGAGATTCGCGGGTCACAGACGATCACAATCATAGATGCAGGAGGGGGGGGGGAGCCGAGGAGGAATTGCAAGCCACTGCAGAATTCGCAGACAGATGCCATGCAATTAGTGAGGCGAGAGCTGCGTTTGATAATAAACATAAAACGATCTTAATGCAAATGTTAGTAGACGTTGGTTGTTGGTGTTATTGTTTCTTTATTATTCTCTCTCTCAATTTTTTTTCTATGGTGTTTGATTATTTTTGTTTTCGAGTGATATATTGCTACTTTCTTATTCTCGTTTTTTCCTTTTTTTCATGGTGTTTGATGTAATTATTTTTGTTTTCGAATGATATAATGTTACTGTTACTTTATTATTCCTATTTTTTAAAAAAATTTATGGTCTTTGATCCAATTATTTTTGTTTTCGACTGATATGAATTTTAAGTTTGGGAGAGAAAGTGTGATGCCGTTGCTCTGGTCGGGTCGCGGAAGGTCTCTCGCTGATGACCCGGTATTTGCCGCTCCTACCCGGACACGCTGGGGATTATGTGAGGCATATGGATTAGCCTGTTTATTTTCGTTTTATATTTTGGGAGACCTCGCTGAAGGTTGCAGTCACGGGGCACTGGCCTTGACTCCCGGCGATGGGCGCGGGATATTTTGAATTCGGTTTAGTGGGGTCGTATTTTTTTCCGTCTGGCCTGTATCGGGATGAGAGTGTTTATTTGCGTCTGTGAATCGGCTCTAATGCGTATCTGTGTTTCATATATTTTATTTTCTTTATTCCAGGCGGCGTTTCCCTCGACGACACGCCCATAATAGAAGTGCTTGACTGTACGCACCCGCAAATAGGGGCGGCGATGTCGTGGTGTTGCTCGGCCGCCCACTCCTCCTCCTCCTCCTCTTCCTCCTCCCCGCCCACCACGCCTCCTCGCCTTCTCCTCGTGCACGGGGCGAGTCTGGATGGCGCTGACGCCTTCCTGGAGGTGCTCAAGGTAAGTAGTTGTGGCTGGGTTTGTTTATTCACGTATTATTGTTTGTGTGTTTATGTTTATTATTATTAAGTCTAATTAATTTTTATTGTGCACGTAGGCGCAAGATACAACTACACCCTCATTACCCCCCCCCCACACACACACACACACATAGACAGACACGCAATCGAAAGAATATAGATTTTTTAAGCAATGGCACCAAATGATTAAGTTATCGCAAATAATTTAATTGGACTGTACTGAACGCTTTTCCTTTTGCTCTCAGGCTCGTCTGGGCAGCTCCGAGTGCGAGCTTCGAGTGTGGGCAGTGACTCAGTCCTCGTCGGAGGATGACCTAGTCCGGACTGTCACGCAGCGCATTGGTGTTCGGGTAAGCTTCTTTGTTTTCATTGACAGAGATGTAATTATCTCTCTCGCATGTATTATTAAGTTTTCGACGCTTGTTTAGAACGTAAACCCACATCAATACAGTATATCCAAGACGGAAGGTGACCTTGGGCTGCCATCGGCGGATTGATATTGATTCGCCATTCTGAGTCGACTGTAAATTTATTCTATATTTTCGCAGCGCCCTTGTGCACTTCAGCTCTCTGCGTGCATATTTAATGATGGAGAAGCTGTCATAAACATGAAATATTCAACCTCGTCTCAGTAGCACACGGCTGTCACCATCGATCACTCGGAGGCATGGCACACCGCCCCCGGGCTCGGCCTCCGAAGCCTTCCGTCACGTTGCATCATGCATGATTTTTTTTAAAGCCGCGTGCCGCATCATGGCCCATCCAGGTTCACCCTGGCAGCAGTCAGGCACCAGACCACAAACACGTCATTCATGTCGGTCAATAACAGCAACTGCAGCGGCGGCGGCGGCGGCACCAGGCGCGGCGCGGTGACCACTCCGGCCGCCGCTCGAGCTGCTCCCACGACGCATACGTGGAGGAACTCGTGCGCCCGAACGCACAAGTATCCTGAATGTGCTTCGGGGTAGTAGTCGTCTACGTACTTATTGGCGGATCGTGGGCACGGTGAATAAAGATGTAGCACGCACGCCTGGCGCGCATATATACGCACGCATGCACGTACACACGCACGCATGCACGTACACACGCACGCATGCACGTACACACGCACGCATGCACGTACACGCACGCATGCACGTACACACGCACGCATGCACGTACACACGCACGCATGCACGTACACACGCATGCACGTCATCACGGCATGCACGTACGCACGCACGCATGCACGTACAAGCCACGCACGCACGCATGCACGCACGCACGCACGCACGCAGCACGTACGCACGCCCGGTACGCACGCAATGCACGCACGCACGAACGCACGCATGCACGTACGCACGCATGCACGTACGCACGCACGCATGCACGTACATGTGCACGTAACGCACGTACGCATGCACGCAACACGCGCGCGCAGCCGCACACACACACACACACACACCACACACACACACACACACACACACACACACACACACACACACACACACACACACATACACATTCACACAAAAAAGCGCATATACGCATATTGTTATGAATTTGTACATGCATACCCTGCACGAATGATCATAGCAATTATCACAATGTATTTACTCCGACAAATACATCTGTTAAACCGCACACTTCCTGCCAAGTACGACACTCACCTTGACATGAGGCCTCACTTCTACCCTCACGTCCTCCCTCACACTCGCACACTTTCCCTCCTTCACCCTTCCTCTCTCTCTACTCGGCGCGGGTGCCTTTATCGCGGGCGCGCGCCTTCACCTGGTAGACTGTCTTCACCTGGTTAAGCTCCGTCGCCTTGTATGGCAGCCTCATCTACCCGAGTAGTTTCACATAGAAGAGTACTCCTTCATAGTCTAAAAATCTTAACCTGGTAGGCCAATTTTACACGGTAGATCGCCAAGTGGTAGATTACCTTCACTCGAGTAACCTTCACCCAGTTGAATACTTTCTTCCCCGATGCTTTTACACACAAGAGTATACTATCAAAACACGTTTCATTCAATACGGAGTCGGCAACGCGCCAAGACATTCCTGCGGCTTAATATTCGCGTTCGAGCAAGAACCGAAAACGCACAGCTTGAACCGAGGCTTAACGTGCGACGGACACCACACGTCACGGTGATTCTATAGTGCGTATATGAATAATACAACGAGTATGTTTGAACGCTGGAAAAAGTATGATGACTTCACCATCCAAAGAACGAACTGGGGGTTACTGCGCCTGGCCAAGGAACCATTGTTTGAGATGTGAACTTTATAAAATATCGTTCTGTGATGTAGTACATTAGCTACTATTTTTATTGATTAGGTAGAGTGCCTCCTTGTAGTAGATTTTAATATTGTCGAGTACCTGAAGATTATCTTAATCTGGGAGAGTACTTTCACCGAGGAGCAGGGTACCCTGAATGGGCAAGGGCACTGTACGCAAATAAAACATCTTCACCTGATATAGTAATGTCGATCCTTTGCCTGGTAAAGTACAATCGGCTATTATGAAAATCACGCCAGAGACACACGCGATGCCTTTACGGACGATGAATTTTCGTACATTTTTTCGTTCGCGTAGTAAATCACTGGTTACGACAAGCTCAGTATGAGGCAAAACTGCCTTGCGTGCGCTTGAATGTGTGTGTGTGTGTGTGTGTGTGTGTGTGTGTGTGTGTGTGTGTGTGTGTGTGTGTGTGTGTGTGTGTGTGTGTGTGTGTGTGTGTGTGTGTGTGTGTGTGTGTGTGTGTGTGTGTGTGTGTGTGTTTGTTTGTTTGTTTGTTTTATATGTATGGGTTTATGTGTGCGTGCGCTTATTTTAGAATATACATTTAGGTATGCAAGTGAGCATAAATTTAAAAAAAAGCATGGTTTCACGATAACAAAATAACAGAAATATGTATGCTTGTATATTGGTGCATGTATACATAAGTATGTACATAGGCATGTGTCTATTATACTACATATACACTTGTTTGGTTGTTTAGGTAGATTATTGGAATGCATGTCCGTATATATGAGGGTTTATTGTATTTTATTTTGCCCACATATATTTTCGTTTTGACATCCACCACGCGAGACTACAGATGCATTACAGTTGTGTTAACAAAAGAAGCGACATCAGTTTAATGATATTCAGGTACATTATAACTAAAAACAACAACAACGAAAGACAGGATCATGACATGGAGGGAAGAGGGATTGGGAGAAATACAATGGAGATAAAGCGATGAATGGAAGAGCAGATGGATTAACATAACGTGGTAGAAAATGAGTTTTTGTTTCGCTTGGAAATTCACAGCTCATTACATGACTGTTATGTGCTTCGACGATTACATTTTTATGGCTTTGATGAGACGGCGAAAGAAAATAAAATCTAATGCTGCTTTCTATAACCGTTTTCGTAAGAGCTTGAAAGAGATAATTTCCCACATCGTGTAATCGCCATCTGCTCCTGTGATTACGTGCGACTCATCCATTTATTCATATTCGCAAGGTGTTATGATTGGACTCATCTGAATACGAGTCCCAGCCCGAGAAAGCCTCGAATTGGGAAATATGTCCGTGTGATTACATATCCTTTTGTAAGCAGCATGTATGTATTATTAGGAGCGCGTCTTCCATCACGGCAAGTACAGCAAGGGTTGACACCAAGAGAGAACCAGCGGCGCGGGAGAACCGGCCGCTAACGATGGAAATATGGAAATTAATTGTGTGAACCCCCGCCGCCTTGCTGGGTCAACACACGTGGGGGCCCCGGAGCGAGCGTAAGGTGCGTGTGTCGCGCCCCGGGAAGGAGCATAGTCTCACCTGGATGTCTTCGGGATTTTGGGCGATAATGTGCCCCGTGTGGGTTCGTCCGATGCACCCTTTTGAAACCCCGGGAATAGGGTTATGGTGATTTGTCCCACTGTGTGTTAAATAGGATTGGCTGAGTGATTACATGTAGTTTTGTACCCACTGCGTTATGGGTTCGCGAGCGCTTCATGGGTCCCAGCCTTGTACTAGCGTGATTGTTTATTTATGAAGGGAAGCTTAAATTTGACGTGGCAGTTACAAGCGTAGATTAATGTCCCTAATATATTTCTAAATTGTTCATCCATTACAAGTGAGCAAAAAAATCATTATGCACCATAATGTGAGGCGATTACGAAAATTAATTCAACAGTACGTATATATATACACATTAAGATAAACAAATTAACAAACATAGCCTAACAATAAGCAGCGGTCGACACACTGGCCTGATGAATAGTTGTTCAGAACCGTTATATCAAGTGATTTAAATTACTGTTTTTAGTATTTAATTTTTTCACCGCCTTAGTATCTATCACTCCTTGTACTTTGTGAGGTGTCGTGAAGGTGTGAATCATACATGAAAAAAAAAAAAAAAAACGCACTTGCATAAAGTATCCATAAAACATACACATGCATATCCATAAAAAAAATCTTACAAAACACACACTGTTCCCGCTACACACATCGGTCTCCCGGCGTCCCCCTTTTCCAGAGCGTAAGGTGCCACTTTAATCGGATTTCCTCACGCTTCCCATGCCGAGCCCTGTCGCATGATGGAGGAGAAATACCGCATCTTCACCGCGACACAAGACCCGATTGCCGTCTTGCACAGTAGCTCGTGGGTCTCGCCTCGTCATCGCTGTGGCTGGAAACGTTGCATTTCCCGAGTGCTCGTGGGAATGAAGAGGCATCTCGGGTTTCCCTATGTTCCCCTGAGTTCCCCTGGCGTAGTCTGAGGTGAACTAAACTGGGCTAAGCTAGACTAAACTAGACTGGTCTAAGCTGGAACGGTACTAGACTAAATTGACTGAGGTGAACGGACCGAAATGAAATAAATTAAACTGCAGGGGGGAATATCAGATATCGGGTGGACCCCTTTACCACGACCTTGACTTTCTTAGTATATGGTGTGTCTAATCACATAGTTTCCTTTTCCTTTTCCTTCTTGAATATATTTAGGATACTATTCAAATCACTGACGGATGATCAGATGTATGAAATATTCCTTCCTTCGTACCTGTATTGATGCTAATATAAAAGAAATTTGACGCACATTCACGTATGGGAAATTAAATGGAATGTTGCGACCGCACCGCTGCATTACGGTGCTCATGACGGGTCAGATAAGTCACGTTAGCGTTCCCACACTTGGAGCAGTGTGAGAGCCTGTATAGAAAGAAAATAGGAATGATTAAGTTAATATTAAGTACATAAAAGGAAGTATGATTTATAGGTCTACGTTATATCAGCCAGTTGACCCGAATTGTAGGCCTAGGTAGGGACATGATTAAAGAAAACCAGCTAATCAGTGAGACAAATAAAGAGTATCACT